TCTGTTTAGTACAGCTGTAAGGTGTAAATCAGTCTTGATTTGCAACTTGGTGACACCAGAAACAAAAGCCAGGAGAGAAGAACATGAAATAAGGTACAAGACGCTCCTGATTACTCATCCTCGGGCTTGGTTTCATGCCCTGGCGGTCAGGATGATGAGTTCTTGTGTCTCAATCATTACTGGTGTCTCCGGAGTTGAGCAAAATCCGCCTGACTTGTTGTTATGCTTAGCAAAGCTATTCCCAGCTGGGAAATTAACCACGTAGGCTCCCGAGAAAAAGATTTTTATCCCTACCTGTTCTTACAGAATAACAGATCTTCTACCCAACCCCCTGCTCAAGCAGGAGACCTTATATCATTCTGGACAAATGGCTGTCCAGTCTCTTCTTGAAAACATCAAGTGATGGAGCAGCCACAAGAGGAAAAAGCGCTACTTAGAACATAAAATCATAGGTTGGAAGGGACCTTCAAGGTCACCTAGTTCTGGAGACTATAGAGGATGACACCAAGATGACCATGGCAGATCTGAAGGAGTCACTGTGGGACAGAGGGTCTTGAAAAGTGCTGATTCACAGAATAGCCGAGCATCAGACATGACTGAGACAAAATCTGTAGAATTAGGCAAAGCCGGGCTTGATGACCACACTATTAATTGTAATACTCTATTCTGCCTTGTTCTATTTTATTTTTAATTTTTATTCTGCTCTGTGAGTGTGATAAAAGATGGATGGATGGATGGATGGGTGAGTGGATGGACGGGTGGATGGGTAGATAGATGGATGGATGGATGGATGGGTTGAAGGTATCTTGATCCTAAATCCTTGGGAGAATCTGGTAATCAAATTGCCACATCCAGCCAAAACTATCAGTTAGATTCTGTGTTAATAATGAACACCACAGGCCAGTGGTTATGAAATGTTATGACTTAAATCATGAATTAAGTCTTGGGGGTCCATTGCCAGAAAAGATATTTAAAGGGGGTCTGTGGGGAAGAAAAGGTTGAGAATCGCTGCCAGAGGCATTGACAAATTCACCATTGGTCAATGGCCAAAGGCAGCTTCACCTGGAAGAGCTTATGTTCTGAGACATTATCACCATCAAACATCCACGTCTGCCTATCCCAGGTCATTGGGAAAGACTCAATAGGTAGACAAAAATGGCCCAATCCAGTCTAAACCTCTGGCTGACTGTGTGATGATCAATAACAACAACATCCCATTTCATTTATAGGTTGCTTTTATTTACAAATATACTGAAGTGTAACCTTCCACTCATTCAGGCCCGTGCGCGCACGCACACACACACACTCCCACGTAAGAAAAAAGCAAAATACCTGAAGTTTGAGAAATCACATCGCTTGAGCCGTCCGTGGACGGCAGGGAGAGAAGAAATCAAAAACAGATCAAACTGTAAGCTGTGGCCACATGGAGGTGAAAGAACAAAGCTCCCACAACACACTAATAAATAATTTAAGAAATGGCAAGTCATTAAATTAAAAAGGCACAAACGAGGCTAGGGGCCGATGGCAAAACCTAACGAATTAAAAAAAAAAAAAAAAGGACAGGGAGCATCGGGATGAGAAAGGTTATCAAGAATTATCTTTATCTTTATCATCGTCATCACCATCATCGTTATTTTACAAGTTAAACAAACCGGAACAGCTACAAAATACTACATTTTGCTAACATAAATACAGAATATATAAATATACAGAGAATACAGCCGGATGTTGTGAAACAGAAACAAGGCGAGGGAAGAGAGAGAAGCGAATTGGGGAGGAAAACAATTAAAAAAAATGAAGAAAAGAATGAAGAGATCTTTCGAAGTTAACCGTTCAGACAGAAACCCAACGGGAGAATTCACCAAGAATGAGATCTGACAGGGCCGATCAGCAAATGTTTTGTTTTCCCATTTGCAGGTTAAAATTGGGTGGTGGGGGGGAGATACCTGAAATTGAAAAGCTGGAGGGGACCTCTCCTGCTGACAAACTGGTGGAAGAGTCAAGGAAATGGATGAGAATTACCAAATTTGGTCAGGACTGCCTGAGCTCTTGAACTGTCTATCTTCTGTAAAGTAGGCCACCTGAATGCTTATTGAAGATATTCTGAAGAAGGAGTACTGCAGAGTTCACAGTGTTTGAAAGCAGAAACCCAAGTAGTCTTTAAAGTTCTAGAACTTACATAAAGATCGTGAGATGTTTCCAGGTTCCCACCTTTTTTTTGACTCCATTCACTTTTTTCCCCCCTTGCTTGGAAAGCAGTGGCAACGCTAACTTTCCATTCCACGTTCCTCACTATGAATACGTTTGTTGACACAAGACACAAATCAGAAAGATATGAAGAGGCAGGTTGCCCCATGGGAGGAAAATACCAATGTCTCAAGAGAACACTATGTACTCCATTGCCATAGATTGATTAGAGCTTAATATTGACCATAGATCGATTGGCACATTGTGAATACTTTGAGGATGGGGGAGGACTGATGGAAATCTCCAGTTTCTGAAAATATAAGAACCAGACCGTAAGACTTGGCTGACAATGCTTACAATACTTGGCTTTTTCAGCATGATTTTGGAACTCTCTAATGAGCCATCATCAAACACAGTTCATATGCCCTGGAACACAACATTATTAATTTTTTTTGTTATGAATTGCTTCTCATTCTTGATTCAAAAATGCACTTTATTGATAGGGTTCTTTCCTCTCGGTTGACAAATGCAAGGAGGTCCAGTCATCCCGGTGTAGAAATACAGAGAAACATCCTTGCACAGAAAAATGTCTCTTCCCACCAAGCTATAGAATGTTAATAGGGCAACTTTTTTTTTTTTTTTTTACTATGACATAGTTCCATTTTAATTTGCAGCAATTTTGTGCTGGTTTAATTCTTACGCCTTCCCTGAAAGAGTCCTGGGAAAGTTGATAGGTACTGAATCCTGAACCTGTTTCCCGGATTCCTTTAGAAGAACGCAACCTTAGGCATAGGTGTCAATACTGAAAGAAGAGAATATTGGTAGCTCAAGATTGAACTGTGGGGTCCTTGGTGCTCTCTGAGCTTGGATGTTTTCTTGCGGACGTTTCATGACCCAACTAGGTAACATCATCAGTGCTAGAAGGGAGTGGAGTTTGTGGAGAGGAGGAGGAAGAGGGGGAGGAGAATGACTGTCCTGTCCTTAGGTCTCTCTGAGCTTGGATGTTTTCTTGCAGATGTTTGATGACCCAACTTGGTAACATCATCAATGCACTGATGCACTGTTGACGTTACCTAGTTTGGTCATGAGACATCTTCAAGAAAACCACCAAGCTCAGAGAGCACCAAGAACCCCATAGAACTCAATAGTCAATGAGAATATCTAAGTGGCAAAACATTACATCAATAGCATTACTGAATAGATTAACTATGTGTTTGGAAGTAGCAAAATTCCTCATTCTCTTAACATCCCCTTTGAAATAAGTGATTTACATCCATTTTGGAAGAATTTCTGAGGACAATTCCTTCCTTCCACCCTTTACTAACTGCACTATAGACACGGCAGCCTAACCAATCATATATATATATATATATATATATATATATATATATATATATATATATATATATATATATATATATATATATATATTCATATTCTGTTGTAAATTACCCTCTTCAGTCCGTTCTTTGCTTACTGGGCCAAACGTGTAAGGAAGTGTGTGTCAGTGTGGCACGTGTTTTCTCAACAGAGACAAGCTGGGCAAAGGCACAAATAATCTGCTTATAATGGCCATCTGACGCCCCACACAGGCTGTCATTCCATGGGCTTCAACCCAGACTTGTCAAAGGAGGTTTTATCCATTTTATCCACCCTAAGACATCAGCAGACATTCCTACCTTTTTTTTTTTTGCTTTCTTGTCTGCTTGACTTATCCAGTGGCATCTCCCCTGAGAATGCAAGAGTAAGCCTCAAGTCAAGAGAAGGTCAAGAGCTTGCTTTCAACCCCTTGACCCCGGAGACCCAGGTTAAAACCATACAACCAGCAGATTCCTGAGAGCAATCATCCATGCCACAAATTAGAGTGACGTTGATCTCTGCCAGGATATCAGAGGAAAGGAAAAGCAAGTTTGAGTAGCTTGGCTAGGCCTTTCAATCTGGGGTCACTCTCAGTGGAACGGGAATCGCCATAGCCGGCTCACCACGGCCACTGCCAACTTGCTGTGGGACAACTGCACAATTCAATTTAATTATTTAAAACAAATAAGCAAATTATTTCATTTTTTTGTCATTCCTATTTCATTGTGTCCCTCCTTTTATCACTCTTTAACAATTCTAGGCCACCATTTTTGACATCAGTGTAACTCCTGTCCTGCAGCGAGTTGTCCATGGTGGGTTGGCCATGATGAATTGGCTGTGGCAGCTTTTACTGGTGTTGGACGGGAAAGATTACAATTCAATTACATTTGGAGGACAACTATCTCTATGGAAAAGCCAGAACGTCTTTCCTAAGTTCTCCGTGTTGTCCTATTTATAGAGGACCAGAAGATGGAACTTTGAACTTCTGCTTTCTCAACATAACTTTCTGTTGAGGATGGGACAAGGGAAACGGCATTCTTGGGTGTTTGATTAATTAATTTAAGGGTTAATTATTAAAAAGGTGTCTCTTTCTGCAGTTCCACTGGGAAGTTGCACACCTGTTCTTCCGAACCATGTCCTCCTTTCGTGGCCTGTGGAAACTGGTTTCCAGATCCACATGATAAGCCCTTCTGGGATTCTGCTTTCAGATTCAGAACACATTCTTGCATCTGGGGAAAAGTAGAACGTACGGCCTGCTTCTCTTCAGATGTTCATGCCATAAAGGAAGTGAACCAAGAGGGTGTTCACATGTGGTTCAAACATGGAACCGCTCAACTGCCAGAAGGTTTGGTTTCAGAATGACATTATATTTTAAATTATTTTGTCAAAGAGGGGTCTTGCTTTGGGCATTTATTTTTTTATTTATTTAAAAAAAAAAACAGCCAATCTCTTACCTGAAGTCATTTAAGAAGGCAGTTGATGTAGGCAGCAATTTCAAGACACTGGAAAAGATGTACATTTTCACACATTGTTAACTTCCAGAACGTATTAATATGATTGTGGGGGGAAAGACTAACTTGGGTGCTTATAAGGAGAGTCACTTGTGGATGATAGCCTTATCCTGGATCCCATTGGATCTGACAGGAGATAATAAGGAGAGGGTACGATCTGTCAGATCTAACAGCAGTTGGAATCCAATGGGGACAACTGAGTTGGTGGGGTGTTTTTTTTTTTTTTTGGCTTGGCCCTCAAATTATGAGAAATAAAGACTGAAAAGACCTAAAGGAACTTAGTTAGTCTTCAACTTCTGATCAAAATGGGGACAGGAACTTCCCTTGGTTGACAAGTGAGTCTAGTCCAATTTTACGCTCTTTTTTTTTTTTGGGTCGGGGCCATTAAGCAAATTGCACGATTGCTAAGATGATCTGGCTTCCAGCACTGACTTTGCTTTTTGGAAATTGCAAATGGCCTGAGCCCAGGACACTGCAACTGTCCTAAGTACATGCCAGTTGCCAAGTGCCCAAATTTTGGTCACATGACTGTGGGGAATGCTGGGACAGTCCCAAGTGCAATGGCCAGTTCTAAGTCGTTTTCCCCAGCACTGTTATAACTTTGAACCATCATTAAACGAAGGGTTGTAAGTCAAGAACTACCTGTGAATCTTATTCCTCGAATTCTTCTGCTTTCAAAAACGTGTGGCTACCATCAATCTAAAATGACCCTAAAAGAAGAGACAGACAATAAGAGGATAATGGCTTGTATAGCCTTTCTATAGCTTGCGCACTGAACTTGCCAACAAATACTCAAAATAAGTCTCTAAGTCAGCTTTCAACAACCTGGAAGTGCTTGAGACCTCCGGATCTTGATTCCCAACGTTCTCAGCAATGGCTATATTGGCTACGAAATTTCAGCAACTAAACTCTGTTTTCCCCTAATTCAGCCTTTCTCGGATCCGGATACCATGAAGGTGTGTGGAATTCAACACTCAGCAATGGCTATCCTAATTGGAGGACCCTAGGAGTTAAGATCCACACATCTTGACAGCCTCCCAGTTGACAAAGGCTGATCAGCTCAAGGTGAAGCTAATCTCTACTTTGCCAACTTGTTTTATGAACATAAAAAAAACCCCACATTCCATCAAAGTTCTGCAGAACTTGGGGGCCATCTAGTCTATCCCCAAGGGAGCTGAGCAGATAGTTCTAGAAATCCATAAGCAAGCCATGAGGTCAAGAGTAGTCTCCAGTTTATGTTTCCCAACAATAGATAATAAAAGATATAATAAAATCAAAGCATGGAATTTGAGGTCCGTCACACCTGGTGGGAGCTTGGACTAAGCTACCTGAGGTTGCTGGGATATGTAGACCAAAACATCTGGAACTCAGTTTGGGGAACAAAGAACAATGCAGTGATGGAAAACTGGTAGACCCAGAATAGTCTGGAAGACCGCAAAGACTTGATGATGGCCTTCTGCTCAAGCTTTCACCCACTGCAATTTTAACATGGCAGAAGTTGTGAAACGCAAAATATATGGGAAGCCATGATATTTAATCCACTAACTTGTTTCTTTTAAATAAAATTTAAATAAAATCAAACCAGAGCCCCAGATCCATCCCCTTTTTGGAGCAGGACCCCCAGAAACTTGGTAAAGACCCCATGTTAGCTTACCATGTGATCTAACTAGTCACAAAATGTGGAATTTCCTGGACTTTCTTAGTGGTAAGCACCATAAAACGTGATTCACATCTTCACATCTGACAAGGCTTAATTTCTACTAGCAACTGGTCCACGTGCATTGGGAATAGCTGAACTGCTTTGGAATAAGCGTCCACTAAGGGTAAAAGGCTACAGAGCACCATCACTGCTTGCAGTTTGCAATTATATGAAGGATAAGGGGAGGTAGGAGAGGAAAAGGGTCCCCCCCCAATTGAGGAAAAAAGATCCAAATGAAAGCCGTCTCTGATTAATGCGTCCTGCAGCAAGGAACTGTGGGGTATCGCTGTCAAATCAGTATAAACAAATGGGAACCACCAACAGATGACTGTCAATCAAGGCTAGTAGAGCTAGGGGTGAAGACATCAAATTTGACACTGAATTATTTCACCGTTTTGTTTTTTGTTTTTGTTTTTAAAAAATGTTTTAACACACCCAGAATGGCGAACAACCTGCAATAAATTCGGGTGCTCCAGAATGTCTCTCGCCCTACTTTTTATAAAATTGCTTTTTCAGGTAAAGTTGTGCTGACGGCTCGTCTAAATTTGCCTCCCCTGTTTGGCGTCTTTTTTTTGTTAACTCTTTCTCTTCCTCTCCAAGAAACATCATAATTATGACGACGTGGCCTGATTTTGCCTTATATTATTTTCCAGGGTTTTTTTTTTCCCCTTCCTCTCCTCCATTCCCACTCCCCCATTTCCAGGCAACGCAGCAACTATAACTTAATGGCCCCAGAAGTGACCGCTTTGGCTTCCCTTTGGTTTGATGGAGAGGAAAAGAAAGACAAAGAAAAGTCGAGTGGGGGGGGGGGGACAGGAAATGTTCCTCTAGGAATCACAGCTCTGTCAAAATGTCTCACGGTCCTGATGAAACATGCAGAACAAAATTGGAACAGTCCTCTCCAATTTCTTCCTTCAGCTTGACCAACTTTGCATCGTGGGCAGCCTGGAGAAAACAGCACACCGTGGAAAGAGATCTCGAAGCAATGCACGTGGGAAGTGTTTGCATCCACCACGATGGGGTTCGAGAAGGAAGGATCGGAGTCTCTTGGCCCAGCCTTGGTGACCTCGGGGTTTTTTTTGGGGGGGGAGAGTGATGTGTGTGGTCCTTTTGTCCTTCTGACTGAGGATTCCTTGCCTGTCTGTTTCTCGGACATTAATTTAATGCTCCTGTCATCCCAGGTGACCAACGTCAGGTTGGAGAAAAAGAAGAAAAATATGGCTGTATGAGTTTTGTTTTTGTTTTGTTTTGTTTTGTTTGTTTTTCAGCTGGAAAACTGGAAGGAGTCCCTTGCAACGTTGGTTCAGGAGAGAAGTTCAGAAGAGCCGGCTGGTTCACCCCAGTTGCTTTTCATGAAGCAAAGTAGGAACTCTGCATAGAATACAGCCTATCAATGGGGTTTCCTATCCTGGCTTGCATGGAGTTGACTTCCGAGGAAGCCAAGAAACAGTCACTCAAACTCGTTAAAGAAGTGTCACTGTCGATGTCATGAAAAATGGAGTCGTTTCCTGATGGGTGATGGAGAGAAGAAAAAAAAAAACAGAATATAAACATGTTAATAGGCTGGGAGGACTGCTCCAAGGTGCTATAATCTTCTGAGAAGATGATCTGATAGGTCCCAAAGGTGCTTCTTTCAAAGGCAACTGGACGTTTGTTTTCTCTGGAAGACATTTCGCTTCTCCTCCAAGTTCTGAAGAAGCTTCTTGAATGAGAAACGAAATGTCTTCCGGGAAAAACAAAGTCCAGTTGCCATTGGGGGGGAAAAAGCACCTTTTGGGATAACCATGACCTGGATGACTGAGAATCTCCATAGATACGATCCATATATGGTTTCACCCACATATGACCGAAGTGTTCCCGGCACACCCATTTCCATCAGCTTTAAACTCTTCCCATACAACAGAGATGCATCATGATAAGGTTGATTTCAAGAGGTAGGAGATGCTCACAATGTAAGCTTGGAATTTTGCCACCCAACACATTTTGGCCTCATTCTCAGTACATGAGAATCCTTTTTTGAATGCAAAGTATTCTGATTGCTTGTGGGGAAACAGGCTATTAACAATATGTATTGTAGCCTCATTTTCTCAGATGGACAGGAATGTGTCTGGTTTAATGAAAAGAAGGATTAGAGGTGCCATTTATATGTTGACAGTACCATATATAAAGCCCTGCCAGATGGAAAGGATAGCAGTGTTCCAATATTTGAGGTGTTGCCACAAAGGAGAGGGGGTCAAGCTATTCTCCAAGGCGCCTGAAAGCAGAACAAGAAGCAATGGATGGAAACTAATCAAGGAGAGAAGCAACCTGGAACTAAGGAGAAACTTCCTAATGGTGGGGACAATTAACCAGTAGAACACCTTGCCTTCAGACGTTGTGGGCGCTCCATCACTGGAGGTTTTTAACAAAAGATTGGACAACTATTTGTCTGAAATGGTATAGAGGCTCCTGCTTGAGCAGGGGGTTGGACTAGAAGACCTCCAAGGTCCCTTCCAAGGTCATTCTGTTACAACTGGGAGAAGGTTAATGAGACCAATTCTTCTTGTTGTTCTAACTTCACTTCTCCTCCTTCTCTTTCTCCATCTCTGAACTTGCATCTGCACTGAACTTGCAAATGACATACTCTAGGCAAACTCAATTCATAGGATTTTGGCAATATCAGAAATCTAGTAATATCTGGGGAGCTGGAAATACTCCCGCTTCAATTTTTGCATCACTGCAAACCTGGACTGACGTAGCCAACTTTTGGTTAAGGCCTTTACTAGCTGCAGTGTAGGATTTGTGGACCCGAGAAGAATTTCTTCACATGATTCCCACATCTGGATATACTTCTGTTCCAAAGAACAACCGCGAATAGCAAACCAAAGCACTGGAGAAATTTTTTAAGAAGCCTATCTTAAATCTCCAGGGTGTTTGGTTTCTGGGAATAATAAGGACAACAATAACAATAATACTACTAAGATGCCCCGGGTGCATTTTGAGCTGTCATAGTCTTTTGGAAGGCTGTGCTTTTTCTTCCGCTGTGTTGATCTTCTCTGCTGAAAAATCAAACTAATTTGCACTTGAAGAATCAAATGAAGAGAAAAAGCAGGCCTGGCTCTTTGCTGGAGCTTTTAATGGTACTATGATAGCATCATTGGGCGGGATGTAAGAAATGGCTGGGCTCTCTGCCAGTAAATTGTTTGCTTTGCAGTCTATGGCATCTCAAAAGAGTTTGGAGAGAGAGAGTGTGAGTGAGTGAGTTAGCGAAAGAGAGTTAGCGAAAGAGAGAGAAAGAGCAAGAAAGAGAGAGAAACGGAGAGAGAGAAAGAAAAAGGGAAGAGAGAGAGAAGGAAAAAGAGAGGGAAAGAGCAACAGAGAGAGAATAAAGAGAGAGAAAGAGAGAGAAAAGAGAGTTGGAGAAAGAGAGAAAAGGAGAGAAAGAAAGTTAGAGAAAGAGAGGGAGAGAAAGAGAAAGAGGGAAAGAGAGAGAGAGAAGGAAAAAGAAAGGGAAAGAGTGAGGGGGGAAGAGAGAAAGAGAGAGGGAAAGAGAGAAAGAGAGAGAGAGAAAGATTTTTTTTTTATCTGAGGCACGAAGGCTGGCAAAAGAGAAAAGATCCTGCGTTCCATCAGAGGAAACTTGGCTTTGAGGAATGTCAGGATCAGATTGTTGTCAGTGCTAATAAAAGTTGCCACTGGAAAGGAAATGGAGAGAGGTTGCAAGAGGGAAGAGGAGCAACCCAGTGTTGAAAAAAAAAAGGATGGGGTTCCCCCCCCCATTTTTTCACCTCTTCCCCCAATGCAAACTTGGCTAGACTCCCGAAGGCGCCTTCCGTTGATCGCCAAGAAGGATGACTTTAAAACAGTCAAGGATGTTTCCCAAAGTAGAACAGACCCGGTTCATATCTCTCTGCCTCCCAAGACAGAGCGTCCACTGAATGTGGTGGACTACAAGTCCCATCATCCCTAGTCAGGCAAGGTGCATGACTGAAAGAAGCTGATGGAGTGAGTTGCAACTGGGTGGAAGAGGACTTGACAATTCCACAGGGGGCCTTTGAGGACAGCTTACCATCAATTTGAAAAGGAAGCAGAAGAGAGAAAAGCAGAAATATTTTGGAAAATATTCTGCTGAGAACTCTACAAGTTCTTCCTTCCAGCCCCATCGACCATCCTTATTTTTCTTCTTTAGATCTGTTACAATCGGGAGGATGAGTCCTTGGGTCTGCTTTTTTTCCTTCTCCTTACCACTACCTTTTTCCTTGTGTGTGGTTTCGTTTGCCGTCAGGGCGGCAAACATCATGCCAGTTTTGAGGCAGCGAGGAAGTTTTTCCATTCTTAGAAAACACTGCCTAGAAGTCTGACGCAAAGCTATAAATCATGAGGACTAGATCCCTAAAATGATAACTTTACACTGTTGCATCAGGGCCCCCCGGATTGCCTTTGGAAACTGCAGCCGTTGCAAAACTGCACAAGAAACCTGGCTCCCTGCTGTTCAATTCTTAGATCAACAATATAGTCATTTCATTGTTGTTGTTTTTCCTGGAACCTCATCGTTCTCTTTTCGAAGAGGATCCTTGTTGAGCAGCTACAAAAATAGGGAAGCTCTTTTGAGACGGGAAAGAGGGCATCGTGAATAAGTGAAGATCTTTTCAGTGGAGAAAACTGATCGTGCTTTGTTGTTGTTGTTTTTGCAGACAAATATTGCTTTGGGGAAACCCATCCAGGCCGGTGTCAAACTTGAGTGAGGCCAGGATGTCAGCTGACATTAAAACGAGCAATAATAACAAGATCTTCCAGAACTTGTAGGACTCCAAAGGCCATCTTGCTCAAGAGAAGGACCTAGTTCTTTGACCTGCTCCAGGAACACGATGGCTTGATGGAGAAAGCTCGACTGACTATTAGACCTCTGAAACTATTCACGGCAGGCACGCAGCTAGATCTCATCTGAGACACGACTTGATGGGCGAAGGGTAAAATAGGAGTAGCAGATCCTCGGCCAGCCACAGAGTGTCCTTTTCAATTTTTTCCATGCCACCCATCTGGCACCCCCAGTTTGGGAATCTAGGCATTCCAGCCCACATACCATTGTTGTGAGTGCGATAAGAGCTGTTATCAATTTGCATGCTAAAAAGCTCTGGACGCAAGAGAGTAAACCAGCTTTCTGCCAAACCACATCTGATGCAGCCTTCTCACTGATGTGGTCATGAAAAGACAGGTCCTGGGATTGCTAGTCCCCCCCCCACTTTCTCCAATTCCAGCCCTCCTTAAAGTAAGAAGCACATAACTAGAATAATGTGGTGGTTTAACTCTTCCCGGCTCTTTCTTTCCCCGGCTTCATAATAGATACATATATGGAATAACACAATGGGAAGGGACCTTGGAGGTCTTCTAGTTCAACCCCCTGCTCAGGCAGGAGACCTTATGCCATGTCAGACAAGTGGATGTCCAGTCTCTTCTTAAAAGCCTCCAGGGATGGAGCAGCCACAACTTCTGGAGGCAAGTCGTTCCACTGGTTAATTGTCCTCACTGTTAGGAAATTTCTTCTTAGCTCTAAGTTGCTTCTCTCCTTGATGAGTTTCCATCCGTTGCTTCTTGTCCTGCCTTTGGGTGCTTTGGAAAATTGGTTGTCCCCCCTCTTCTTTGTGACAGCCCCTCAAATATTGGAGCACTGTTATCACGTCTCCTCTTCTTTTTACTAGACTAGACATACCCAATTCCTGCCTATGTTTCAACCTCAAAACAAAACAATGGCCAAGCTGGGATTTTCACCGAGGGCAGCTGATCAACTATGGAACCCATCTGAGATCTGGTAGACCAAGGTCAACACCTAACATTGCACAAATGCGAGATGTTTCTTCAAGAGGTCAATGGTTGCCATCCGTAGTGCAAGCTGGAGAAGCAATTGTTCTCCACACCCTTTGAGCTCCACTGATTCATTTATTTACTTCTCCTCGCCTCTTCATCCTTGGCATGTGGGAGGATGGTGGCAATCCAAGAAAAAACAGCCTTAGGAAATGCCATTTGCCCTGAAGGGGATGGCAAGGCTCTCTGAGGGCGATCTGCTGCTCCAGGAAGTGAGAGAGAAGCTAATTTAATCCCAACATTGGCCAATGGGGTGTGGAGATCTGGAGGAACAAATGGAGGGAAGGAAGGAGGAAGAACAGAAGAAGTTTTCAAATCCTATAAGGCTCTCACTACCACTGACTACTCCAATGTGTGTTCAGATCCTTTTGCGGAATGGGTGGGATTAAGACGGAGTTACGGATGCATACAGAAATAGGATGCGTTGGATCTGTCCATTCCTAAGAGCTCTGCTTTGTCAAATCCATCTTGAAGCAAGTAAGCAAGGAGAAAAAGATTCTAACAGATAGGATATATGAATTTAGATTTCTATCCTACTTTGTTTTAGGAGATCAAAGCAGCTTAGATAGCACTGCTTCTTTTTTCTCTCTCTACAACCTTGCAAAGTTGGGTGGGCTGAAAGGAAGTATCCAGTCTAAAATCACCCAGGCCAAGAATGGACAGGCAGGTGTTTCTGGAGTTATTTAAGCATTGCACTCTATGGGCTCTCTGGACACTTCTGCGCCCTTCCAGATGTTAACAGGAGACCTCAGAGTTTCAACAGAGGTCCTGAAGGCCTTATATGACAATGACAGTTGGTTCCCAGGGAGTCTTACCATAAGGATTCATGTGGTCACCTGGCATTTGTGGCGGGGTGAGACCTTGCTGGAAAGGATCGGTGGCGTAGGTGCTCTGCTCCATTGCTACAATCTGTTGTTGCGGTGGGGCAAGGGGTGTGTACGACGTCATTATCCCTTCCATCCGGTTGGACATTACTTCTGTAAGACCAAAGCAAAACAACTTCAGCTAATGCTCGCCTTGCCGTCAACCTAACAGAAGTATTTATTATTATTGTTCGTCGCCCCATTAGCCAGATGTTCAGATTGGATCCAGCATTTTTGTCCAACTATCATATTCTTCCCATGGACCTGGGATAGGCAGAGATGAATGTGCGTTAAAGGCATCATCACAGGATGTAAGCTGTCATGAATAAAGTTGCTTTTTGCAATTGACTGACGGGGATTGTATCAATGCCAGTGGTTATTACTATTGTGGGTTGCAAATTCAGCCAGATGTTTAGACTGGATTGGCATGTTTATCCTTCTGTTAAGTCCTTCCCAAGGACCTGGGATAGACAGATGTGGAGATGTTAAAGGTATCATCACAGGATGTAAGCTGTCAATTGCCTTTTGCAATTGACTGATGGGGATTGTGCCAACGCCAACGATGTTTACTACTATTATTATTATTTTATTTATTAAATTTATAGGCAGCCCAGCTCACTGTTGCAGAGATTCTGGGCAGCAAATGGCACTATGTTCAACCTTAAAAGAATAACCATATTTGTTAGGACTCAACAGTCTATTCACACGTCCCAAAGGTGCTTTTATTGGGGGGCAACTGGACTTTCTTGTTTTTCTTTGAAGACATCTCACTTCTCCTCCAAGAAGCTTCTTCAGCTCTGACTGGATGGTGGGGGATGGAAGGATCCAGTCAGAGCTGAAGAAGCTTCTTGGAGGAGAAGAGTTATTTGAAAACAGTGATTCATTCCTGCTCAGATGGAAAGAGAAATTGCCAACTCTTCTCTTCTCCTCCACTCCCACGACTCCCTCTGACGTTGAGCAATGCCCGTCTATATGGTTGCTGCCTCTCTCATCCATATGCAAGAGTCAGTGTTGCGTCCTCACGCGAAGGATTTTGCAAACTGGGAAGGGCTGAGGCCCGGTGTTTGTCCAGCCTCTCCTGCAGCACTTTGCCAGCCCTGACTGGCGCCTGATGGTGCCAGCACGGCCCAAAGCAGACAGGATGAGCTGAACGCCAATTATTGTCGGGGTGCAAGAACTGAAAATATGCCAAGACATATTCTCAGAAAAATACCTACCCTCCCTTGGGAAGTCCAGCCCAATATTTATTCTGGTGGAAACATACCGCATGTGGGCAACTATGCTGCTTTTAAAACAGGGGTGGCCAACTGGCAACCCCTGGACATTGGCAGTCCTGATGTCCATTTTTTTCCTCTCCTGCGGGGGTATCTATATTTCCTCAACCACACTGCCAAATTTAATACACATTTGCAAAAATTGGCAGCACGGCTTCTTGTTATTTTGAGACGGGAAGTGCACGGAAGCCTAAAATAGGTTAACTTTCTGTCATGGGCTGCGAGAACAACCTTGGGAGACAGGAGGAAGAGCTGCTTATCAGGGTGTTGGTTGTGGGCTGCAGGGCAAGCTACAAGGAGCAAACTCTGCACTTCCTACTAGCACTGATGATGTTACCTCGTTGGGTCAAGAAATGTCTACAAGGAAACAACCAAGTTCAGAGCGCACCAAGGATCCCATAGTCCTCCTCCTCCTCTTTCTCCCCCTCCCTCTCCTCCTCCTCCTCCTCACAAACCTCTCTCCCTTCTAGCACTGATGATGTCCCCTAGCTGGGTCATGAAACATCTGCAAGGAAACCACCCAGCTCAGAGAGCACCAAAGACCCCACAGTTCAACCCTGAGCTGCAGATATTCTCTTTTATCAATAAATGACCAGTCCCAAAGCTTTCCAGACCAGTTGCAGTGATGGCTTTACCTTGGCCAAGCCGCTGGGAGTTCTGCTGCTCCTGCTGCTGCTGATGCCGCCGCGCCAGTTTTTTCATCTGCGAAAAGGAAAGGGAGTCAAAATCAGTCCAGTTTCTCTTCTGCATCCTCTGTTGACGCGGCTCGGTGTTGAGGGCCTTGCTGAGGTCTTACCTTCGCTCTTTGGTTCTGAAACCAGACTTGGACTACGCGAACGCTGAGGCCTGTTTCGGCCGCCAGAGTCTCCCTCACCTGCAAGAAAAAAAAAGGCCAAATAGAGAAAACCAAAATTGCCACGATCCTCCCAAAATCCTCACTTTGGTGTGCAAAGAATCAAAAAAAAGCTTCTACATAATCTTCATTTCCCAGAGCACAGGCCGTCCTCGGCTTACGGCCACAACTGAGGCAAACATTTCTATTGCTAAGTGAAGCAGTTGTTACGTGAGCTTCGCTCCATTTTACGGCCTTGCTTGCCACAGTTGTTAAGTGAGTAACACGGTTGTTAAGTGAATCTGGCTGTCCCCATTGGCTTTGCTGGTCCGAAGGTCGCAAAAGAGGAATCACAGAACACTGCAACTGTCATAAGTATGAGTCGGTTGCCAAGCCTCTCAATTTTGACCAGGTGAGCAGGAGAATGCTGCAAGGGTCACAGAGTGCGAAAAACGGCCTTAAGTCACTTTTTTTCAGTGCCGTTGTAATGTTTGTAACTGTTGTAAGTTGAAGACTACAGGTATAAAACACATCTGGGGTCTGCAGCTGAAACCTTCAAAGGCTGCAAGAAGGATTTTATTCTTCGGCGGTGTGTTTGCAAGCTTCTGAACCAGAAACCTCGGCTTCGTTTTTGCTAATACTAGCTTCTCCTGTCTACTCATGTAGGTACAAATGTTGAGACTTGACCGTGCTTGTTGTGGGGAATTAGTACAACATTACGACACCGACTGAGTGAGCTAGTGAGCTCTACGACACTAGTCCGTCTACTCAGGGAATGCAGAAGTTGAGATTGTCCTGAAATTTGCCAACTAACTACTGGGAGAAATAGGGAAGGAGGTCCATTTTAATTAGGATTCAAAGCTAGTATAGGACTTGAGGTGGTCAGCTAAGGATGATGTGATAGATGTGTTCCAATATCTCAGGGGCTGCCACAAAGAAGAAGGGGTCAAGCTCTTCTCCAAAGCACCTGAAGGCAGGAGAAGAAGCAACAGATGGAAACCAATCCAGGAGAGAAGCAACCTGGAACTAAGGAGAAACTTCCTGACAGTTAGAACAATCGATCAGTGGAACTACCTGCCTCCAGAAGTTGTGAATGCTCCGACGCTGGAGGTTTTAAAAAAGAGATTGGACAACCGTTTGTCTGAAACGCTATAGGGTCTCCTGCCTGAGCAGGGGGTTGGACTAGAAGACCTCCAAGGTCCCTTCCCACTCTGGTGTTCTATATTCTGCTGTAAGCTGAGAAACAACCCTGCTGCCAAATGAACCAGCTGTCTTGGTGGCGAGAGCAAATTGGAGGACTAGACAAAATTGGCCTAATCTAGGTTTTCATCCTGCCAGTTCCAGATCAATGGATTCCAATGGCTCAGTTGGCTCTTCTATTCATCAGACTTCCTTTTCTTCTCCTATTCCGAGGTTTCAGTCTTCTAAGTACCCCAGGAAAATCCTTTATGATCCCAGCTGCAGATGTCCTCCTTGGCCGAGATAGGGAATTTATACTTTTATCTTCCACTAACAAACTGGGTATCTGGAGATCCTCAAATCCAAGGGAAATAGCTGTCAGCTACAGTAGGGTGCCTGTCAATTTTTACCACCCTACTGAAGGATGAAATGGCAATTATATGACAAGGGAGGATGGAGGAGTGGGGACCATCAAGCTGGACACATAAGCAATACGTCAAAGTTATCCCAATTGTGCCTGGGACGGAGTTAAGGGCCTTCTGTGCGCAAAGCATGTGTTTTTGTCAAAGAGTAACTGCACCAAAGATTAATGGACAGATGAAGGAGAAACTTACCTTCCTACACGGCTTGGAAGATACTTCGAAGGAGGCCTTGAACGCTCTTCTCTGCTGTGTTGTGAGGATTGTCCGTGGCCTTTTAGGTCTTCTTGGGTCTTTTCCGTCATCGCCGCCCTTCCCGGGGGTCACTTGTCCCTTAGCTGGCTTGATGTCCCCATCCTCATCATCACTTTTCACTGTTGATATATCATGCAAATATGGGAGAGCTGAGAGGCTGGGTTCACACACTGCATGAAGCTACGCTTTGCTTGGTTAAATAACACAACCTGGTTTAACACTTCACACTGCCCCAGATTTATAAACTAGGGTGGCTGGATTTATCCCTTCTGGTTTTTTTTTTTAAAAATTAGATTGGTGAAAATAAGGGAGAGGAAATAGTTGTTAACCCTACAGTAAGGAGGCATGTCAACTTTCCCACCCTACTGATCGAAGATCGATTAATCACTCTTTGACTGTGGACTTCAAGTCTTTGATTGTGGCTCGTAGCTCAATTCTATCCTGAGTTATAGATGGAGGGTTGGACTGGAGGACCTCCAGAATCCCTTCCAACTCTATTATTCTGGTCTGTTATTCTTTCTATGATTGGGTGTATCCATCCCATCAAGCCCAAAGAAAGTCTGGAATGGTATAAGATCTCCTGTCATTGGGAGAGGATTGGGACCACCAAGGTCCCTTCCAACCGTATGTTTTATGTTATATCCAAAACTCTGATTGTTAGAAATGTTAATAAGAAGAGCGCTGAGCTCAGAGTCAGACAAAGATCCACCAGATACATCTTGGAAGCCCACCAAGCAAAGGTGGTCCATTTCAGAAAGGACCCTCACCTGAATCGGAGTCATCCGGACTGACGGAGCTGAGCAGATCTTTCTCCTTCTCGTAGTCGCTTTTACAAAGGAGCTGGCCTTCCTTCAAAACGAACTCGTCCCCTTTTCGCAGTTGCCGCTCGCAGACACAGCAACAAAAGCAGCCCAAGTGGTAAACGCACTCCAGCGCCCGCATGACGAACTCCGTGGGGGCAATTTTTTCCATGCACCCACTACATTTGGCAGCAAACAATCTGTGGGAGAGGGAAGAAGCAACCAAAGAGAGACGTGTCAGGGCATTCTGCACCGAGGGAGAGCGTGTGTGTGTGTGTGTGTGTGTGTGTGTGTGTGGAAATAAACCACACACACACCACTTCCTGAGGCTCTAGGTCAATTTGCAGTGGGACTGTTCAATGCCGTATCAATCGTTTTGTTCAGGCTTGCCACTGGCTGACATTGAAATTATTTATTAATTTTATAGGCCATCTCGAGTTGGGCAACCTATTCATTGTGCAATAAACAAAGCAAGCAACCTATTTCACTGAAAAAAAAAAATATAACCAGTCAGGGTGAAAAGAAGAAACAGCCCAATGATGAGGGAGTCTTTTCAGGCAAGAGAAAAACCATTCCATTAACCAGGAGGCTGGGAGTTCTAGTTCTGCTTTAGGCGCAAAACCACGGGAGTGACTGTGGGCCAGCCATTCTCTCCCAACCCTAGGAAGGAGTCAAAAGCAAACCCACTTTTGGAAAAACCTCACCAAGGGAACCAGCCTTGTCTAGTGTATCAAAGGGAAGGATTGGGGGGGGGACACGATAACCATCTTCCAATACTTGAGGGGCCGTTACAGAGAAGAGGGAATGGACTTGTTCTCCAAAGCACCAGAGGGAAGGACAAGGAGCAAGGGATGGGAGCTGGTGAAAGAGAGATCCAACCTAGAATTAAGGAGAAATTTAATGGAATAACAGAGCTGGAATGGAACCTTGGAGGTCTTCTAGTCTGACCCCCTGCTCAAGGAGGAGACCCTAGACCATATCAGACACACGGTTGTCCAATTTCTTCAAAACCTTCAATTAATCAGTGGGACGGCTTGCCTTCGGAAGTTGTGGGTGCTCCCTCCAAGAAAAGATCGGATCACCATTTGCCCGGAGTGGTATAAGGTCTCCTGCCTTGGACAAGGGGTTAGATTAGAAGATCTCCCAGGTCTCTTCCAGCCCAAGGATTCCAGATTCTAAGTCTTGGAAAAAAGCTAGCTCGTCTCTCTCGCTGACCCAGCAGCAGAAGAGTGCCCTTGGCATGGGTCTCCAGTGCCAGGATTCAAACCATCTGGCCACGTTATATCATGTCCCTGATTTATTGCCTTCTGGTTCCTTATCTTGCTTTTAAATCCACCCTGCCCTGCCTCCCCGCCCCGTTCCTCCTCGGCGGCTGTTTACTCTTATAATCAAGCCCTAACAACTAACCTTTACCGTTTCAATCGCCCTGGTTTTTAATTTCCTCCTGTTTGTGGGGCAAATAGATTGTTAACGGTTGTGTTATAGCTCACCGGGTGAGATAAGCGCGGTTTGCCGTCCGCATTAAGCAAGGTTCAAGAGACTGGCTAAACAGGAGGAAGTTATAAAGGGAGGACAACCTAGGTGCCTTTCTGCTTGTTGGATGTATCCGTATCACAGGATGAATTAATCAGTTGGGGGTGTTAATTGATTGATGCCGCCTGGGAAATTAAATCACGTTTTCTCTTCTTGATGTTATTTCCCAGGCACAGACAGAAAACGTAGGATAAGGTGATGGGGAAACCTCTACCAAAACCACAGTGGCAGCTTTCCCACTACACAGCCACAATCCTTTTTTTCTCTTACATTGATTTATGACCAGAATTTTGGTTCTAAGCCAGTGCTGTTGTAAATCGAGTCACCAGGAGATCAGACTTGATTTTACAATCATTTTTACGGCAGTTGTGAGTCACGCGTTCGTTAAGCAAATTGCACAGTCCCCAATGGACCTTTTATTTTGCTGGAAATCATCATCATCATCATCATCATCATAAAAAAAAAGGTTGCAAATTGTGACCACAGGACAAGGCAATGAGTGGGTTGCCAAGCTCCTGAATTGTGATCATGTAATTGTGGGGCTGAAGTGATGGTCATAAGGTTGTAAAGCATTTTTTCCCCGGTCATAAGTCAAAGACTACCTGTATAACTTTAATGTATCAGCTGCTGATTCTCCTCCTTGCAATAAAATTCCCTCCCTCTTAAAATCATAGTAAATATAGATTACAGAGTGAAGGGGCAGTGGAGCCGGTCCTATGAACGCTACCCCAATCATATTGCATTGGACTTGCACGCATTTCCACCAACCTTGAGGACTTGTAACATGCGCTTAGAAACTGCAAAGGAAGCAGGGAGCCAGAAACAGTGCAGTCTCTGGTTTTAATCAAACCTACTAACATGCCATCAAAATCCAAGCAATAGCGAACCGAACAGCGAAACTAAGGGTGGAAGTTTGTAGATTTAAGCATCCTAACACTTTGGATTTTAAACTGGACAACCTTAGTGAATACACAAAATTTCTACAGTTTGGGAACAAATTATATACGCATCTCGGCCCAAATGATTTCCCCACAGTCATAGAAAAAAGGCTATCCTAAATCTCTCCATTTTTGTCTACCTCTGTTTCTAAAACTGATTGAAACTGACAGATCCTTTAAAATGACTGCCACTCTTTAATCTCTCTTTTTTTCCTTAATCACTGCTCTAGGGTTCCCTGAACTTTCTTTAAAGAAATATCCAAGTAGATTAGAAGTAAATTGCAGTCCTAAATTGGGGGGGGGTGATTGTTAACCTTGTAGAGAGCAATGGGTATGGGGGAAAGAGGAAAATGGGAGATGAGACACATTCGGACACTTTAACGCTTCAGCCCGGCATGCCAATCTTAGGGACTCTGCAAATGAAAGATTGTTTGAATTCACTTCTCTCCAGCAAACTCTTTTGAGTCCTCTTAAATTCTGCCATTAAAAAAGCACCAGCAGGCTGCCCTGTTAATGGGATGGAAGAGACCGTATCCTTTGGAAATTGGAAATTAAACGGAGGAGACAACTGAAGTCCCTTTTCAGAAAACCTGCTAGACTCTGTGGCTCTCTACCCTTCACTTCAAAACCCAGGAGAGGAAGTTAAGAAGCTCCTCCGTCCATTATTGTTCCATCTTTTTTAAAGTTTGGGAAGATTCAGAGAGGTGGGACTGTATCTCCAAGCCATCCAAGCCTGAGACGAAACAATCTTGAGAAGTTTGGGAGAATTTCTCCCGCGTCCTGATCTGGAGAATCCAAAACAAAAACCAGGAGCCTTAACTGAGTGATCATCTGCTTTGCATGGAGAAGGCTCCAGGTTCGCCTGCCAACGTCTCCACAAATAGGAGACGTTGGCCTTGGGGCTCTTCCCCACAAAGTCTTGGCACCACTCCTGGATCAATAGTGATCGCCACTATGGTTCTCCATGAGCACCTCAGCCAATTTTCTTCTGTCTCAGCTGCAGCGTAGCTCCCACGGCAACGTCTGTTCTGCGATTTGAGAGTCTGGAGCTAGGCAGAGTTTGAGGAGGATGGACAAGTTCCCCACTGGCAGGAACCCATGCCAACTCTTGCCTTCCGGCCCCATAGCTTTCTCCCCTGCCCTGCAGCTGCAAACACTGCAGAACCACCATGGTGTCCTAGCAAACATCTCGGGGGCTATTTTGTAGGCAAGCCAGCATTTGTCACTTCCTTACTGGCAATGCAAATACGACAGGGCAAGGATGGGAGATTGTGGGCAGGGCAGGGTGCTGCCTGGGGCCTGTTCCTGGCCTCCCTCGTTAACTGGCTGTGTTTCTTCTCCTAATACCTGTAGTGAGGACAATTGGAGGATTTGGGGAATGTTTGTGGAATCCCAGTAGGGGGGCTGTATGGAATTGCCTTTGAGCTAGACAGCTCTTCAAATAGGAGACTCTCTCATTTTGATAGAATCCAGGGCTGTCACGGCTAACATCTTATTCCCGGCTTCATTTGTGTCTTTTCTTTTACTATATAGGCCAAGAAATAGTCTAATGAATCTAGTTGAACGAAGATGGTAGCAGTCTTCCAATACTTAAGGGGCTGATCCAGAGAAGGGGGAGTCAACCTTTTCTCCTACCCTGCCCAACAATGAATGAGAACAATCGACAAGCTAAAATTTGGAGATGGTTTCCCCCACACCCAAATGAGGGGGTTCTCCAAAAGGGTCATCCCAAACTTGCAACCCAATAAATCACAAATTCTGGTCAATGATCTGTCTCCAGTGGAGGTGGGCAGCAGGCATGTTTTTCATTATGTCTTCCTCTAGCTTGGCAACCGCACCATCTCACCCCACCAGCCGTGGGAGGAACATCCTTCGGAAAGCTGTCGTTCACTCAGGGGAGTGTGATGTAGGAAACTGAGCCACCAAAGTTCACCAACTACGGTTGCTATTTTTGCTGCTCAGGGACTGCTTCCGTGCAATTCCAGCCGTGTTCATAGCTCCTGATCGCTTTTTTTTTTTTTTTAATGTGTTGTATCTTGAAGGTTGGTATGGTGGGGGTTAGCTGGCAAGAATGAGTTAGAGGATGCAAGGATAATGGTCCTTTTCTTCCCAAAAGGGGGACATTAAATAGAGAGGAGAGGGTGGGGGATCCAGCCAGAGGCTGGCATAAAAACGACACAATAACTTGCGACGACGTGGCCTTGCCGAGATGCTACACAGGCGATCCTCATGCCTGGAGTCCATCAGGAAAGCCGTTTAGTTGCTGATTTGCAAGGGGGAGATTTCACTGTCCTGCGGTGTTAATGTTTTTTTTTTCCAGCGGGGGGTCTATTGCCAAATTCCAAACTCATCAACACAATCTTTTATTAATAACCCTCTGAAAAGCTTCTGCAGTGGCATTATTGCAGAAGACAGGCAAGGCTCCGCGGTGACATCCATTATCGAGATTGCAATGGGGGGGGGAGGAGGGTGTCCTGGGGGGGGGAGGAGAGGAGAGCGAGATAAAACAAACACACAGGCGTTTTATAAACAAAATGTTTCATGTGTTACAGCTCCTCGCCTCCTCCCCCCTTTGCGGGAAACAGTGGGGTGCAGGTTAAAAAACAACAACAAAACCCGCTGGCAAAGATGTGCCAATGGAACATCCTCTTTCCGTCTTTTGATTTGCTGCTATTGGGGGAGAAAGAAGCATTTTCTCCCCCCACACACACTCCATTTCCTAGGTCTCC